TTTGGATCATAGTCACAGGTATTTAGGGCTGTCCCCTTGGGGCTATCCTTTTCCAGGCATTTTCAACCCCCACTCACACCTTGACTCAGGTGACCTCAATAGCTTAAATGGTAGTAGGCTGTGGTGCGGCAGGGATTTCACACCTTGGTCCTGGTGATGGTAATGAACCACAACTTTTTTAAAACCTTGGCTCATGTGTTAAGGATTGGCCTTCCCACAGCCTGGAACTCAAAGGTATTGAAAGAGTGTGAGATCATCTTGACAGAGAATGTGGAAAAACAGCCAAGAAGAACCTTGAATGTCTTTTAAAGAGCTTGGAGAGCTATTCCTGAAGACTTCTTAAAGAAACTATAGTACAAGAAATATTGCCTGAGAAAGGTCAGGCTTTGCTGAAGACTAAAGGTGGTCATACAAAATACTGAATTTCAAGCTTGTTAGATTTGAAAAAAGTCAGTTTTTGCCTAATATACTGTATTTCCATCTATGTTTGCACACAGTTAAAAACCTGCATTTTCCTGACACAATATAAAGAAATAAGGGCTAAAGACCTTTGCACAGCACTGTATGTGAATAAAAACAAAAGTCATAATAGGTTCTCTTTAAACTGCAGCATAAGACGTTTCTTTAACATTTCAGTGAACCTGTGAGCTACTGCCCTCTGATGACACACTCATTCAGTTCAATCCAGTCATCATTTTACAACTCTGAAGGTCAGAGGTCACATGACTGCTGGCTGGACTCGCAGATGTAACTCAGGCTGACGTAGAAGGTAGCCTGGGAGTGCAGGCAATGCTAGGGTCACGAGAGACGTGGCATTCTGTGCTAGGATGCAAACACGAGCCCCACAAACATGCAGAATGAGCACTGTCGATGTTATTGCCGTCAGACCCTCTGTTGTCATCCCTTAAGCACACAAACGCCACTTTCCCCAACATCCTGAGTGGGCATACATTAATATTTCTCCTCCTGTTACATAATTCTGCCACACAAGATACCATACCATTATGCCCTCCCACGAGACGTGCTGTTGAAAGCAGCAGCGTCATTTCCTCTTAGACTACGCTGCTTTTAATGCAGCTACCGCAGCTAGTCTGAAGCCAGTGGCTACACTGTGTGTAAGTGAAAGGAAAAGACTTTATTTATTAGGATAACACTGAACACCCTGAATGCCAGAAAAAACTAATCTGAAAAAACCCCCAGTGATTTAAGCCACTTCAACTAGAGTTAAAAACCAAAAGGGAGTGTCCCTGAAATGCAAGAAAGACCACCTACTTATGCAAGTAAGTTCAGTGTGCACGCAACCACGGTATGTAGCTGCAAAGGTTAAAGTTGACACACACACATACCGCTATGACCTACAAGGTGAGGGTCCCATAACTCAGGAGGGGGGGTAGCTGAGCTAGTATTACCATTAGCAAGCTAATCTGCAAGAAAGTTTACAGGCGCTGCTGAGTGTGTAAGCTATTTCTATATTAGGAAAAGCAGAAAGAACCAGAAACAACTGCAAAGTCATCATGTGTTTTAAGGCTTTTTAAAGAGTTGTTCTCAATGTGATTAAACTGGTAAATTTGGACCAATGTTATTATCAATTATAATATCATTTTAAAGGAAGTTTTATTTTTGAGTCTTTCCTGGCACTGGCTTTTTGTCTCTTCACTTTGGACCAGAAAGGTCTTTTTCACAGCAGACATCTTGGCCTGTCACAGTACGGAGAACACAGACGATGATGGATGGATGCCACTTAGGGAGGTCCTGCTCATCTGCAGGCTGGTCAACACAGTGGGACACAGTGGAAATGAGCCATCATTGCTAAACATTCCTGCTGTTGTTCCTCTGATGATGTATGATATATGCCTTATGAAGAATCAACAGCAGGCTTGACCGATAAGTATCGCTGTATCTCCAACTTTGATCCACTTTGATCTTGAGAGGGCCTGACCAGTGAAACTGCATGATAACTGTGTAACATTTCAGTATAGTGAGGTCACGGCCATCACCAAAAAATAGTTTATGATGCTTTGAGTTTTGTGACATCGTTTGTTATCCTGTTGGTAAAAATGTAGTCATGAAGGGATGAGCATGATCAGCAGCAATATTCAGACAGGCTGTGGCATTTAAATGATTCCTAGTTGGTACTAAGGGCCCAAACTGTGCCAAGAAAACATCCTCTGCAATATTAAACCTCCACTAGCAGCTTGAAGTTTTGATATAGGGCAGGATGGATCCAGGCTTTTAAATTGTTTACACCAAATTTTGATCCAACCACCTGAGTGTCGTAGCAGAAATCGAGACTCATCAAACCAGGTAATGTTTTTACATTCTTCTGCTTCCCACTTTTGGTGAGCGAGGTGAATTGTAGCCTCAGTTTCCTGTTTGTTGCTTGCAGGTGTGACACCCAGTGTGATCTTCTGCTGATGTAAATAATCTACTTCAGAGTTCAGAGATGTTCCAATAAAACTTATCTGGGACACAAGCAGGCAGCAAAGCTGTGTTGTGATTCTGCTTAAACAAAAATGTGGCAGAATAAATCCAGATATGTTGTGTTAAAGCATGCTGTAGACTGTTTGACTTGCATGATCTCCCACACAACACCCACACACCAAACCATTGAGAGCCAAATGACGCTTCCAGAGAGGACAGGGCGGTGGTAGAGACAGACATGAGAGATTCAGAGAGGCATTGAGTGTGCAGTAGATTAGTGTTGTTGCTGCCCTTGGGCAACAGAGCATAGAGGACAATTAGCAGCAGGAGAGAAAAGTCCGGCTCCATTTCTTACACACACACACACACACACATATAAATACTCAGCACTCACTTAATCACAGCTTGAGACACCTGGATTTCTCAGGGTGAGAAACAAAAACTTTTCAGAAGGAATATTTTTATGTTTATCTTTAAACCTCTTCTGTGTACGGCCTCTGCCTCACTCTGTGGTTATATAATACTAGCCCAGTCGATTTAAATCTCACTGTCGGGGTCTGTGCTACTGCACATCAGTCATTCCAACTCACAGAGCTGAAAATTAAATTTAAGGATGGACGAAGTTATTCGTATACGGACGGGACGCAAACTAAAGTAAGAAAACTGAACCCAAAGGAGAAAGAAGTGGGGAAGATGGCATCATGCTGCAGGGGACAAGAGAGCAGAAAATATAACTCCATGAACAGGGACATACCCAACCTCCACACACAGAGTGCTGAATCCATCAAATGTTATGTCCCAGAGCTGCAGAGTGGCTGGCTGCTGCCCCCACAGCAGCCTCTGTGGTCAATATCAAACCCGCTGCCATTTAGAAATTACATAAGCACCCTCCTGCTATGCACATCGAACAGGTGCCAGGCCGTACCTGAACTTTGCTGCTCACAGAGCAAGGGCATTACAGCCATTTGTCACCATGGAAACCAGATAGTGGTCAGACAACTATCCAGTGGGGTTTACCCAGATTTTTAAGTGTATGCAAGTATTTGTTGTAATGGGAAAGCCAAAAGTAACAGAAAGCACAAGGGTGGTAATGTTACACCCACTTTAACTTCTAAAAAATGATACCATATGATATATAGATATATAGATATTTGCACACTCACATTTCTCAGATCAAAGAAATGTTAATGTTGGACTTAGATAACCCGATTAAATACAAAATGCAGTTTTTAAAGGATGATTTCATTTATTAATAACGTAAAAAGGTTATCCAAACCTACTTTGCTCTGTTGCAAAAAAGCAATTCCCCTGCAAACCTAGTAACTGTTTGTGCCACCCTTGGCTGCAAGAGTTTCAATCAAATGTTTGCAGTGACTGGCTAAAGTCTTCATTGTTCTTTGGAGAATTGCTTAATTCCGCCAAATTGGAGGGTTTTCAAGCATAAACAGACAGTTTAAGGTCACGCCAAAGTATCTCACTCTTATTTAATTCCGTGTTTTTGAGTCATTCAGAGCTTGGTGTGTTTCCTGGCATAACTCAAGTGAGCTTGAGCTTTATGAACTGGTTGCCAGGCATTTTCCTTCAGGATTTTCTGGAAGAGAGCAGAATTCATGGCTGGAGTCGTGCTGAAGCAGCAAAGCAGCCCCAGAGCATCACACTGCCACCACCATGCTTGGCTGTTGGTATGATGTTTTATAAAATGCTGCATTGGTTGCACAGATGTAACACGATGTAAACCTTCCAAAAACTTTTAAAAAATCAGTCCACAGAGTGTCGATGGTGGAAGTGCACTCAACCACGGCTTTTTATCACTCCTGGGACTGTTAAAGTTACAGTGTGTTAAATCTCACCACCAGTAGACTGGAGACTGCTGAATTCTACTTTCTTGCCTTTCCCAATTCAATTAGATAATCCTAGTTATGGTGGCTGTTAAAGATATCCTGAAGTTTTCTGTTGGCAAGCACTGAGGTTTTTACCGCCATTAGCTGGTAGCCTCTGTTAGCTGCAGTTAGCCTCTGTTAGCTACAGTTAGCCAGCTTTAGTGAAAAGGTCTTTGAAGTGGTTTGAACATTGTTGGCCTCAGACACTTGGAATGGAATCCAACTGTTATCAAAGACAAAGTGTGATTTTTAGGACACTTGAGCCTAACGTTAGCTGCTACAATGTTAGCTTATAACCAGCTATTATTTAGCCGGCTTTGTCATCAGCTGTTCAGAAACAGAAGGGTCGTATGTCTAATCTGCTAACAATAAGTGTTTGTGCACCTATTTGTGAGTTACAGCCCTGACGTCAGTTCAGAAAATAATGCTTATGTTAAGAAGGAAGAGGATGACATGTAGACACTTGTGCTGACTCTTTCCTTTGTATTCTCACTTCTTTTGTGAGGTGGACCCTTTTCAGATGATAAAATGTAGTTATGATGATGCATATCTTGATTCTGAATGTGCAGACATGACTTAAAATTGACCTCAACTGGGTATACTCATGGGCAAGCAACTTGGTACTAGCAAATTGTTGTCAAGCCAATAAAAGTTTAAGAGTTTGGTTTCAAAGTGAGATTCAGCCCTCTTACATTTCAAAACACCATGAAGGAAAAGTCTGGTGGTCTGAATGGGACTTTGGTTACTACCCCCATCATTTATACTTTCTATGCCAAACAGGGTACCATCAATCCTGCATAAGACCTCTATAGTCATCAATAACTCCCAGTTCTCCCTGTTGTTCAAAAGTTAATAAAAACCAATATTTCTGTGCAGTGCAACAAAAGCTTAAAATAAAATTCAACTATTGCTTTTTTTCATATTACGATAAAGCTTACACAGTGCACGTAGTGCTTTTCTATCACCCACACCTTATTTTAGTGGTTTTTTTTTATACTTGCATGATATTTTTTAATTCTTCTGATTTTTCTTATAGTTTGCTCTTCCTTTACAAATTTTGCTGCTCTGCTGCCAGTAGACCTGTCCATGTTTCTGACTCGTCTTAAGCTGCTAACATGAATTCTTTTATATCCTGGATATGTTGAACTTGCTGTGTTGTACAGGTTAGCCCACAAGTGGGAAAACAGGATAGACTCGGAAAAGGAAATATACCAGGGAAACAAGGCAGAGGAGAAACCAATGAGGCCAAGGAAGACAACAAGGAAGTTAACAAGTAAATGCAAAAGAGCTGAACATGCATAAAGAAAGTGACAAACAAAACAAGGCAGAGACACAAACAGCAATGACAGGAGACCCCATCTAAGAAACCTGAGGGGAAAAGAACAACCAAAAAGAAGACAAGTTTCGAAAGGAAAAATCAAAACCATGGCACAAATTTTTTATGTTATTTATTTTGTAAAGAGTGATTACATTCAAGGAAACAACACTTGAAACAATCATGAATCAGTTAATTCATCAACAAGCGGGGGAACTCTTTCCTCGGGAATGACAAGACGAAAAGCTCCAGAGAAGCTGTGAAGCAAAGCTTGAGGTGAGGCTGTTTTGTAACCTCAAACTCAGAAACCAAAGCTACGGTTTATTAAAAACAACAACAATAATAATAAACTGGTGATACTCAACAACAAAAAAACCAGATTGAACACAAAGGCATAGAAAAAAAAATCACACACCTCTTTTTTCCTCCACGTTTTAAAAATAGGCAGTAATTAGATCTCAGTGGAGAATTAAAAATAAATGATTTCTACTTTATTAATGTGGTCCCCCCTCCAGTCACCAGCCTTCCTGTCTGTCTGCACGCCTGGTGCTCTCGCTCCCCTCTCTCTCCTGTCTATATTTAAGCAGTAGAGATCATAGGACCTGCACTTCATCTCATGTATCCTCAACAAATAGCACGCAGGGCAAGCTATTACTTGTTTGTACATTTGTATGTGCACAAAGGTGTGTCAAATATGCATATCTCCATTAGCAGCGATTGTCTGGAATCTAAAGCAGACACGGGGCTCATGCAAACAACCCCAACAGAAAGGGGAGACTGTGACTGACATATTGATAGACTCTAATAGTTACTTTACATGCAGGCTGTTGCTGCTGTTGGTATGCACTACGTCTAGACATGCCAGCTTGTCTTGCAATCTGCATAACATTGGCAGACTAGTACTGCACTCCAGAATGCAGAGATCGCTGAACTATCCTGATATATTGTCGAGACAGGCATGACACTGGGATGTGAAATTGGTTTATAAATGATAAAAGTTTCAATTACGAACTGAAGAAGAGCTGAAGCTGGTGTAGTAGCAGCACAGACGGAACATATTAACACAGAAAGAAGTCGCACCATGAGTCACAGTTAACCTATGAACAAATCCTTCTTGATGATGTCATAATTACACTAATTGACGCAGCAATAAAGATGTTAAAAATGAACAAAAGTCCGCCTCAGAGGCAGGACGGTTACTTGGTTTCCTGTGGAAGCGCATTCTCCACATTCAAATGGGAAGTCTTATCTTACATAATTCGAGTGTGTCTTCTGTATCTCATAATGACAGGAAAGCCAGCTCTGTTACAAGTATAACAATTTTCTCGTAATTACAAGTTCCTGATGTTGTAATTATGAGAAAAGGTGAAGGTGGTTATCAATCATCGCTGTTCACTGAGAGACTTTTGTTTCTATTATTTTCTTTCTATATGGTCTAAGACATTAAGTGAGTCTACCTGTGTGAACAGCAGTTAAGTCATCACTGGATCATATTTTCAATATTTTTAACACATTTTCAATCAAATTTTATCACCTAAAGGACAATAAAATTGTCTTTGCGTTTCCTCTGCGTCCAACTGTCTTGTCTCTCTCTCATAATGTCCAAATCTTTGGAATAAAGGCAAACTTACTCTTGATAGAAATCACACTTAATGGTGCAAAAGTGAGAGCTCCAAATCATTCGTGTCCTAGCTTTAATCTGCCCGAATCTGGGAAATCACAAGATTTTCCCACTCTTTTCTTGTATGTACGAGAAGGCAAGTTTGAACTCGTAAAGAGATTAGGCCAAGGTTTTTTTTGCCTCTTTGGGGAATGTGATGCACTTTTGAAATATCAGACAACTCAATACTCTTCTGGGATTTTCCCACATAGGGGAGGATGATCCGGGAAAGAGAAAGTTTCCAGTAAGCGGCAGTTCTGTGGGTCAAAATGCCTCGTTGATGCAAGAGGTCAGAGAAGAATAGCCAGACTGCTTCAAGCTGACAGGAACAACAACTCAAAGAAGCACTCATTACAACCAAGGTATGCAGAAGAGCATCTCTGAAGCACATGGGCTATAGCATCAGAAGACCACACTGGGTGCCAGTTGTTCAAAAAGTCTTAATATAACTAGAAAACAGGAGACTGGAAAACTTTGCCTGGTTTGATGAGCCTCGATTTCGACTGTGACATTTGAATGGTGGGGTCAGAATTTGGTGTAAACTTCATGAAAGCATGAATCCATCCTGCCTTCTGTTAACAGTTCAGGGTGGTGATGGTGCTGCTGTGGCCTCCACAGTCATCAGATCTCAATCCAACAGAGCAACTCTGAGATGGGATTTGACGAATGTTTCCAGTACCTTGTTGAATCTGAGCCGTGAAGAATTGAGACAACAGATCAGTTAGCCATTTTTTTTCTTTGCAAATGAGAAATTTATTAAGAGTAACATTTGTTAATCATGTTTTCAAAACGACAAATGGCACACATTTGTCTATTAAACTATTGTGAATACATCTGGTCAGACGCAGGATTTTGTCTCAAACTTTTAGATAAAATATGGATTTCAATTACCATTTATACAGCAGTTCTCTTATCTTTACAACATCTTAATTACATTTGCAGAACATTTATCCAAATATATATCGGTATCTTGATAAAATTTGACTTTAAAACTAATATCTAGTACGTCAAACAGTATAAAATAGTTACTCCTTACAAATTCTTAATAAATACATAAAAACAGTAAGGCCAGAAATTTGGTTAACAGTTTCCCGTTGCAAAAAATCACAATATAAAGATTACTTATAAAGGCAATCCTACATATCAGAGTCACCCTACAGGTCAATATTAGCCAGGAAGTCTTCCTTATCATCATTTGTTATTGTAGTAATCCTGGTTGGTGGAGATTCTGTGTCCCGCAGCAGCTTTTTCTCCAGAGCTGCATCTTCCGGGCTGAGCTTCTCCCCTTTGGTCATGACATACACAAAATATTCAAAGCCTTCTCCATAACTTTGATGTTTGATGGACCATTTATATTCCGTACGGGCATAGAGCCGTTTCCTGAAAAAAGGCTGGGCGAAGGTAACGGAGACAAACCGACCTCCAGGTTTCAGGCAGCGGCTGATCTAAGAAGGCAAAGAAAAAGCAGGAGAACCTTATTAGGACAAACAAGCACATCCTACATTACCACCAAGACACACATCATAATCATAATTTTCAACACGGTCACTACCACCTGACTAATAAGTATTTGATGATGCTGGGCAATGAATCTTCATGATTTATGTAAATAGAAAAACTTGGAATTATTTTATTTTGTGGGATTATTTAGTTTTTAGCCAAGAGGCAGGTGCAATGGGAAGGCAGGGACAGGACAGTGATATGCAACAAAGATAATGATAATATTTAAAGTGGACGTTTCAATTATCTGGTACATGCTTTAAACCTTTAGGCAAAGGCAAAGGAGCAGCTTCCAAGGATTCAATCATAGTCCTCACAGGAAGTCAGCTGCTTTGGGCTCAGCGTGGCATAATGTGGACCGATATCTAGTTAGTTGGTTGATAAGACAAGGTACTCTGCAGCAGGAACGCTATTGAGGAGAACGCTTTAAGAGCACTGCTTTAGGCTGCACTAAGTGTACTAGACCTTTGATAGTGTCTTGAGTGCATTCTAGTGAAATATTCCTGTGAATTTAAAAAACAACTTTCTCAAAGATTCATGTCTCTGTGATTTAAAGAAAAACTATTGGATGGATCAGCCAATCAGGTTGCTTTAATGCGCACAAGGTGTTTTACTCTGTAAGCCTCTCAGCGACTTGGTGGTTGCATAATGCCCATCTCTGCGTAGGCTTGCTAAGACAATTACATGCATTTTCTGCAAAGCTAGACTTTCTAAACAAACCCTCGTTTTTTGTTTAGAAAGTATGCATCTGACTGAGTGATCATCATTACTATGATGGGTACAATGTTATTATAAAAGAGGGCTGGAGCTTGGAAAATAAAACCTGAGATAATCTTTTTTTTTTCTCAAAGTAACGGTGTGGGAGAAGCAATCTTCTAAAGTGAATTCAAATCTGAGTCATAACATCTCTCTGTGGCTGCTGCTTCTTTGTTATACACCTTGAATTTTAATTACACTGACAGGCACAAAAGAAAAAAAGAAGTGTCTCAGTAAAGTTTGTCAACCACACGCTGCTAGAGATTCTCCAAGTCTTTTCGACTCTACTGGGATGATGTGAGTCTTGGGAGTCCAAAACCTCCCATATGTGTTTGGCTAGGTTAACGATCAGTGACTGTGAAGTTCAAAGTGCACGATTTACATCATTTTCATCCTCATCAAACCACCTCAACCCCTGTGGGTGGAGGATAGTGTCATTTAGACAGAGGCCACTGTGATCAGGACAGAAGTGTTACATCGCAGGATAAAAGTGACCATTCAGAACAACTTTGTATTGATGTGCAGTGACCATTACCTCTGAAGGGACACTATAGAGCCAGCTGATCCTCTCACTGTAGGAGTGAAAGGTTAAGCTTTTCCCCTAACATGTCACCCATCTGTTACATCTGTCAAATACCAAATTATCTCAAACTGACAGAGCAGACTTTAAAGCACTGAGCTTCTCAGTCTACAGTGGCTGCTGCTTAGTCACGCGGTCTGAAAACACAGTGTGACAGGATGAAAACTTAGAGGGTCCCTGCATATGAATAATTGCTACTTTGATTCTCTCACCATACCAGTGTTTATCCTTTGCGAGGGATACACGTGTGCATCAGGACACGGCAAGTTTCACAAGAGGCCGAGCTCAGGCAAGCAGGAGTATAAAGACACACACGCACATTTAGTTAGACATTAGCAGAGTTTCTCCAGAGACATAAGTGTGTGTGGGAGTAAAGAGACACAACTCGCAGAACTCTGTGTAGATACAAACTGAGCTTTTTTTCTGTGTTCCATAAATCAAACATGTCAACAGGGTGAATAACAGATTGCAGGAGAAATATTACAAGTCTGCAGCAGCTTTCTTAAATCTATTATCTGATATGACATCAGAAGATAGTTCAGTAATTTGTCTCTTAAACTCAACACAAAACTGTTACTGATGATTCAGCCGGGGGTGGGGGGGTGCTCTGGAAAATGTGAAGGAGGGGATATTTTCATGACCTTTAAAGCTTTTTCTATTGATAAAGAACCCCCCTCAATTAAGTAAGAAACAATTAAGTGACAGAAAGTTCCTATTTTTCACTATTTGCTGTTTTAACAGGGGATTTGCATAAAAAGTTTAATTGTATATTTTATAATGATGGGACAGTCTGACAGTCTGTAATTTTACACAATATCACGCGTCGCTGGTTCAGGACACTTAAGGTTAAAGTAGTCTGAATGTGGCCCACAATGTAAAATGAGGTTGACATCCCTGGTGTGAAGTGTGATTGAATACTGTCAGTGTTTACAGATCTAGCTGTGAGACTTTGTGTTAATGGTACATGTGCATGTGTGCGTCAAATGTGTTCTCCTATAAGCCCAAGAAAGATTGCTCCAAAACAGGCCTGGGCATCCCCAGAAATATGCGGCCCATTGGAGAAAAAAAGCTTTGGACCTAACCTGTTGGTCCCGATTTTTAATTTGACCTAAAATGATCTGAGTTTGTCCTAAATTCATTTTGAGAATGAAAACAACTATTAGATAAACAGGTTATGATATCTGCCTGAACACACAGACATCTACTGAAAAGACAATGCAGAGAGAAGCTACTTCGTGGTCTTTCTGGGTGGCTTCTTGCCCGGGTCCTGAGGGCAGAGAAGCTGGTGTTGAGCTCACGTGTGACTGTCATGCAAGCTGGGATGGAGTGGCTGAGGTCTGTACAGTACTGTGACAGAGTGTGGAGCCAATCCTCATATACTGCTGGGGTCTTTTGAGAGTTGCTCTCAGAGGAGCACGTGTATCCTGCTCTTTTCACATGATTCATCTCCACCAGCATGCAGCCTATATATGAATTATTCACTTTTCACTGTGACACAGAGGAAAAATGAGAGGAAGAGTGGAGGGGATGTTGGATATGGGATAAAATATGTCATGTAAGGCAAAGAAACAAGAAAGTGAAGACGATGTTCCAGATGAGGGACACAAGATAAACGTATTTAAAACTGAAACCTTTTTATGTTCAGATTTACAACATTTTGGGTAAAAGCAACTGCACTAGTTGTCTTCCTGACAAAGCTAAACTAAGCTAGGCTGAAATAACTGTCAGCCAGTCGGGGAAGCACAGGATCCAGACTTCAGTGTTTCTCAAAGCTGAGTTAACTGAAGCAAGAAATAAAAAATGAAAACAAGATGGTAAACACACCACTGCTGCCTTCCCCCCGTCTACACAGTAGGAATGGTGAACATGTTAGCTCACAGCTGTTTCCACTTAGCACACGAACATGACTGGTTTCAATCATGTTTCTCTTCAAAACATTTATCAAGAACACAAATGGTCCCAGTAAATGTTTTACTGTGTTCTTATAGTTTGACATGAAATGAATTTGGATGAATGTTTGACTTGATGTTATTATCTATCTGGGCTCTTTGAAGACATCTCCTGTTGGTGGGGCTTCACTGGCTTCACCCTTAGGTGGAAGCTTGCTATTAGTAGAACACACCGCGTGGAAGGCCCTTTTTGGTGAAATATTAATAGAAAATATTTAGTTGATTCATGGACTCTATTTTATTCCCTGATGTGGGCCTGTGTGCCAAACTGCGTTGGAGTTTTTACATAACCTTGTTGTGAAAATAAAGACATTTTAATTTTATTTTGAAAAGAGTATCTTGGAGTTTTTGATATTCAAGCCTATATATATATCCCTTCCAAAGAGCACCTCAAATATGCTATGCTGCCAAAAGTATTTGCTCGTCTGCCTTCGCACACTTATGAACCTGAGTGATATCCCATTTTAATCCATGTGGTTTATTATGATATAAACAAGGTTTATGGGTGTTTATGGGAATTTCTGACCATCCTTCCTGAAGGGCATTTGTGATGTCAGACTGATGTTGGACGAGAAGGCTTGGCTCACAGTCTCCGCTCTAATTCATCCCAAAGCTGTTCTTTCAGGTTTAGGTCAGGACTCTGTGCAGGCCAGTCAAGTTCTTCCACTCCAAACTCGCTCATCCATGTCTTTTGGGACATTGCTTTGTGGACTGGTGTACAGAGATGTTGGAACAGGAAGGGGCCATTACCAAACTGTTCCCACAAAGTTAAGAGTGTGAAATAGTCCAAAGTGTCTTGGTATGCTGAAGTATTAAGAGTTCCTTTTTACTAGAACTAAGGGACCGAGCCCAACTCCTACAAAACAACCCCACACCATAATCTCCCCTCCACCAAACTTTACTCCTGTCACAATGCAGTCACACAAGTACCGTTGCAGTTGCTCGACAATGGAAACCCCTTCCATGAAGCTCGTTATGAACTGTTCTTGAGCTAATCTGGAGTCCGCACGGAGTTTGGACGTCTGCAGAAAGTTGATGACACCTGGGCACCGTGAGCCTCAGCATCCACTGACCCTGCTCTGTGATTTCATGTGGCCTTCCAATTCATGGTTGAGATGCTGTCATTCCTCTTTGTTACATTACCACTAACATTTGACTGTGGAATAATTAGTAGCAAGAAATTTTCATAACTGGAATTCATTGAGCTCCTGAGAGAGCGACCCATTCATTCACAAATGTTTGTGAAAGCAATCTGCATGCCTAAGTGCTTGACTTTACAGACCTGTGTCCATAGGCGTGATTGGAACCCTGAAATCAATGGTTTGAATGGGTGAGTGAATACTTTTGGTAATATATTGTAGAAATGGGTAGAATCCATGGAGTACAACTTATCAAAAACAACTGACATTTATTGAAGCAACTTGTGATTTTTGCCACCTCCACCTCTCGAGCTTTTGCTGCTCTTTCAAACAGAACCACCCGCACTGACCTAGCTGATGCTTGGAAGTAAATGTTGCCAAAGGAAACTTCCTGTGTATCATATAAATGTTCCTTTAATACTGTACAGTTTTCTCAGAAAGTCCCTTGGCTGTCACATTTAACTTTACGCCAAAGTGCGACTCGCATTTCACTGAACTGCAGTGCGAGTTAACATCCTCCT